GGCCACGCGGCCTCCGCGCTGTGCGGGGGGGGGGGGGCGCCCCGCGAGCGGCGGTCCCTCCCCCCATTACCGAGGCTCCCTCTAAGCCAGGAATTCTATTTTCTGAGCTCCTGGCATTCAAGCGGTGAGCGGGCGATTTGGCCTACTGCCTACATTAGTTTGCTCTGGAGCCCCCCTCTCCGAGCTAAGGCAGAAATGGGTGTGAGCCGGGGGCTAAAAGAATGTGTGCTAGCTCGCACCAACCCAGCTTAGAGGGAACACTGGCTGCGATGCTCGTCTAAGCTGTGGAGTCCGGTGAGCAAAAAGCTGCTTTGTGAGCTCCTGGCATTAAAGCTGTGAGCGAGCCATTTGGCCGCTGTATCAATCCGTTTGCCCTGGAGCCCCCCTTCCCAAGCTAAGGCAGAAATGGGTGTGAGCCGGAGGCTAAAAGAATGTGTGCTAGCTCACACCAACTCAGCTGAGAGGGAACACTGCACAGGATGCTTTCCAGCTGGAGACCAACAGCTCTGGAGTGATTCTCGGCATGCCTTGGGTTTTGCACTCTTTAAAACACTGGAGTGCTGCTGCTGCAGCTGGGGGACAGGGATGGGGGGGTGCCTTCCTGGTGGCCCCTCGACCCCAGGGGTGTTTCCACCCAGGCCTCGGGTTTTGCACCCTTAACCTGGATTCGGCAGGCAGCTCCCCGCAGCTCTGGTGGGGGTGGGGTGGGGTGGGGGCTGGCTGCCAGGAGGCTCCAGGCTGAGAAGAGCAAAGGGCTGCTGTTAGGTTGGGCAGCATCCCCACCCTGTGGGCTTCTGCTAGCAGCGCTCCCTCGAGGGCCCAGTTGGGAAAGGCCCTTCCCCCCCCCCCAGGCAACAAAATGGCTGCTGGGTGGGGGGGGGAGGTGGGCCCTCTTTTCGGGGGTGGGGGGGAATAGACTGTGGTAAGCTCCATTGCTGCCTGCAAAGCTGCTGCCAGCATGGCAAGGCGGTGGATGAGGAGAGTCAGAAGGGGGGGTCCCTGGCCACCTTCCCACCCTTAGTGGGAATTGCTGTTGGGGTATTTCTGAACTGAAAAGTAAAAACTCCCCCACCCCCCCCCCCCCCCAAAACCCCAAAAGATTGGGCCAGGGGATCCAATTCTATGGGCCCCCAAAGAAGGTGCCCCCATCCTCTATTGCTTTAAATGGAAGGGGAAAAGGCATTTATAGAGACTGGATTTGTTGTCAGGTTTTTTTTAAAAAAAATGACAAATACCAGTGAGGTATTTTTTCAGGAGGTTTATTTATTTAGACCCCGCCATTGGTAGGTGCCATTATTGTCATTGGTTGAAGGTTGGGAGGGCAGCAGGAGGAAGTGAATTCCCTTTTCTGCCCTTTTCAGGTGTCTGGATTTGGGAATGGAAAAGGTCTTCATTTATTAATGTAAGGTAGCTAGTTTACTTTTCCTGCTAGAAAACGAAATAGGAATCCATTGGCAGCTTAAACACTTAACAAAGTCAGTTGCAGAATAATTTTTGGAGTCGGAGCCCTTTGAATCACTGGTGTGCTCAAGATAGCTGCCAGAATTGTCATATCGAAGTGGGGAAGAATGTGAGTCCTTTTCCCAATAAGTTCTAGAATTCTTTTTAGAGGAACTGAAGGAAAAGAATTTATTCTGTTCAATTTGTAAAGCACTTTTCCTGTTTGGTGAGCTCCGTGTGGCTAGCTGAATTGTCCTTGCACTGGTATTTGGTAGGTAGGGGGCTGAGGAAGTTGAATGGAGTCCCTTTACCTCTGTCTCACCTGTATTTTAGCCTGTCTTGGTATTAGCATATTTCAGTGATGAAAACCGACTTTTTTTGGTTGATGGGGAATTGATAGCTCTTGACACTGGAAGAGGAGAGATCTATCATGAACTGCCTTTTCTGTAGACAGCACAATTGCCGCTGGGTGGATATCAGGGAAGACAATAGGAAATCAGTCCCTGCTTTGACAAGTGAGGTGTCTGGGTTTCTTTGGGGGAGAGTTAAAAGTCTGGTTCTCTTTGGCTTCATAGCTCACCTTCCCACTGGTGTGCTCAAGCCAGTTGACAACACTGCTGTTGGATGGAGGTGGGGGGAGGAGGTGGGAGTGAATCTTTTCCCCTTTAGTGTAGGGAAGGAGGGTTTGTTAGGGGACAACTGGAAGAATGAAGCTAAAGGAAGGGACTTTGGGGAAAGGGGTGGGAAGGGAAGAGGTTGGGGGGGGCATGTTGTTTAGGAACAGTGGAGAGAACCTCGAGCCAAGAGGAAAGGCAGGGGATAAATGTTGTAATAAACTTCATAGATTGTAGTCACAACCCTTTTTCAGTTTCCTGGGCTCTGACGGGACTTGGCAAATATCCATTCTTTCCTACTGTAAGCCAGGGAGTCCCAGGTCCTTCTGCCACAAAGCTGTATTTATAACATGGCATTAACACTGACCCTCTTCGCACTTTGTGTGGTGTGGAGAAAGTCAATAATGGGTCGGAGTATTGGTGCAGCTGGATGGACTGCTTCCAAGGGAGCAGATGGTAGTCTGGCTTTTGGTCTGCATATTTTCTCATCGCTTCTTCTGCAACCCGGCAGTGTGAGTGCGTACAGGGAGTCAGGATATGAGCAATGTGAATGCCCGGAATGGCCCTCCTCACATCCACCCTCCCCCGACACACGCCTGTGTCAGAGGAAGTGACTGCTTGGGTGCTGTGGGGGGAAGGGTGGCGTTCGCTTTTAGTGGCAGAAGGTACAGAAATGAAAGTGAGGATATACATTTCTTTTGCCTGGTAGAAGGACTGTGATTGGTATGCATATTCCATCTGTGGTGCGTGAAGTAAGGAGTAAATGCCCCATGAAAGACAAAGAAGATGGCAGCAGTGAGATACTGGAGTATGAATTGCCTTGGCATAAGTTGAAACTGATACCTTTTGGGTGCATTAGGTGGTGACTATATTATGGGACACACACTGTCATTGGAGGCACTTATATAGTGAGTTGTGCTTATGGTAGTAAATCCCCAAACACTGGTGCAGTCGGTATGCACAGCCATCCCACAGGTCCAGAAACAAAACTATCAGCACAATATTTGGAGTCTGGCTTCTGTGGGAAGGGATTTTGGTGATTGAGGCTTAAGGACTGTTAAGCTGGCAGGATGGCTAGGACCTAGAAGGTAAAGTATCCCAGAGGCTGAGTGATGGCAGGAGAGGAGCAGAGCAGGCAGCGGATACAGGATCTTGAAGGGGAGGGCCAATGAAACAAAGGCCTGAAGAGAAGGCTGGGTGCCTGAGCCTGAGCCCCTGAGAAGTCTCCTGTGCCTTTAAGAGGTTGCATATAAAGGAAAATCCCACTGGCTGTGGTTTCTTTACATACTGCAGCACTGTGACCTGACAAGTCCTGTGGAGGAAGTGAGCTTGGAAGGCTGTAATTTTGCTGTAATATGAACTCATTGGACTGCTTGTCTGGTCTTCTAGTCATGGGAAGTGTAGGCTTAGTTTTGCTCTTAATCCTCTTTCCTTCAGTAAAAAGCTTAGGCCTGAAGAGACAGCGAAGAAGAGGTTGATGTTTGTGGGTGCTTCTAGGTGCAGAGCAGGAGATGGGTATCATGGGATATGGGTTTCACACTCCAGTGCAACGTGTGGGGAAGAAGACACCGGGAGCTGAGCTGATGACATTTTGATGCCTGTTAGATGGGTATCCTGCATGACCAATGGTTGTGATGCACCAGGAAGGATATTGCTAACATACCCGTTCTCTTCAGTGTAGTGTGGTGGTGTGTGTGACTTTGGGGGGATCTCCCTATGGGATGGGATGTCAAGTGCTCTGTTTCCATTGTGGCTGCAGGGAGTGATGGTTGAATTGATATCTCAACCCAGAGGAAATGGGCTTTAGAATGGATAGGATCTCTCTTAGGAAGTAATGCTCTGCTGAACTAAATGGTTACAATGCCAGAGCAATTGATGGAAGAATTAACTACTTATATTCTTAATGCCAGAATTTGGGTAGAAAATGTATGTCCCTGTGGGTGTGGCCATAGAATTGGGGTTAGGAATGTAGCTGGATTACAGAGGAAAAATGTGCTCACCCCCATCAAACTGTTCAGAAAAAGAGACGATTTCTTGGAGTGTGGAGGTGGGAGTATGGCATGGTTTTAAAGATAACTCTGGCAGCTACGTTTTGGGGACATCTGCTTTCTTGCTATTTGTTTACTATTCAGTAGCAAAAGCCAGTTATGGGTGGCTCATGGTTGATTCTGCATTCTGGTGGCTGTCATGAATTAGTTCAGTGGTGCAGTGTTTGAGTTGAAAGCACTGCAAAGGCTTGCATCCATTCACAACTATATTAATGATTATTTTAACAAAGAAATCCTTGGAATGAAAAATACTTGCCAACCTTTTTTCTCTGTACAAACTGAATATAGGTTTATTGAGTTGACTGTTTAATTTACTGTCTGTTTTAGGTTTATGTATCTGAAAGGGGATCTATAGGAAGACTGCTGTTACTGTAGCTGGTTGTTTGAGAGAACTGCAAGAGGCTGGCTTTGTTAAAAGCAGGTCTTCTGTTGCTATGATAGAAGGGTGAAGTGATTCTACTGATTTCCTCTTGCTGGATGGAAGAGGGTCTCTTTTCTAGGGCCCTGAAATCTTGCCATATTGCTTGTCCTTACTGATGTATTCCAGGATAGGTTCGAATGTCTGCTACCTATGAATAACTCTCTTTGGAGAAGAGAGATGGTTTTTGAGAGATAAAAATATTGTTAAATATTCAATATTGTTTCATGTCTGAGCCACCACTGTAGAATGTCCTCTACTGCTTCTGTCTAAATTAACAAATTAGGTTCCTTGTCTGCTTAAGTTTCTTATGACGTGCACAGTACTGTGTAATGATTACATTCTCAGTCTTGTTGAAATTCAGAGTTGACTGGAGTACTGATAATGCAGCAAAC